GCGCCTGAATGAAAAAGGATTTGAAAAAAGGAAAAATATAGGCCTAAGCATAGTGGCATGATATGGATTGGTTCGTAAAAGAACGAAGCTTATGTCCATTTTACAGAAGAGTGTCACTACGATATCCTTGGTTTGAATTAGACAGTACCTATCAATACATCCCTGTTTTAATTCCAGAGGCCCCTTGCAGCCCAACTTGTTCACTAACACCATTTTTCTTCTTAATTTATTTATAGTTTTTGCTTGAGGACAAGCAAAGGTTTAAGTGTGGGAGAATTTGATAACACTTACTTTACACTTGTTTTTTACTCTGATTTCACATGTTATTTAGGTTTTTTATTATTGTTTTCTCGTATTATGCCTATATTTTGTTTCCTTTTCAGATATTTCAATTATCCAGAGCTCCCCTGAAGAAATGAAGGAAAACAGGCTGAAAAATAGGAGTTTAGGTCAAATTTGCACTCATGGCACCCACCATGGCGCCAGCCATAGGGTAGGCCATGACATGGACCACTTCCTTCTGACCTCAAATGCCACGTTCCCCACTTCCTTTCATTTACACTCATGGCGGGCGCCATGGCCTCCATGGAGGGCACCACCTTTGGACGATGTTTTCCCCCCCAAAAGGAGTTGGGGAGCATTCCTGTGATTTCCTGCATTCTTCATCCTCTATAAATAGAAGTTCTTGATTTCATTTCAAATCACCCAAGCTTAGTTGCAAACTTTATCCAACCATAGTTGCGAACTTAAGCCATATAATTTCACCATTGTAAAGCGATAATTCTTCACGTCGGGGAATTATTGCACTGTTGATTAAGTCTGTGATCGAGTTAGTAGATTGAGTCTGTAATCGAGTTTGGAGCACTTCGGCAGAAGTTTATCCTGCCACATTTATTTTCAACTGTTGTTTATTTCCAGTCGCATTTTACTCACAGTTTGTACCAGATTTAAAACCTCCCCGTTTGGAGCAGGTTTCTATTTATATTTCCCGCACCTGCTTTTACTTTGTTTATTTCCCGCACCTGCTTTTACTTTGTTTATTTCCCGCACCTGTTTTTACTTTGTTTATTTCCCGCACCTGCTTTAACTTTGTTTATTTCCTGCACCTGCTTTTACTTTGTTTATTTTCTGCACTGCTTTTACTTTGTTTATTTCCCGCACCGCGCTTTAAATTATTTACTTTCTCGCATGATTTATTTTAACATGTCTGTTTACATTCCCATGTCAGGCCGAACCTTACTAGGCTAGAATGTAAGGAATCTAGTTAGATCGATATTCCAAATAATGTGTCAATAGAAATGCTTATGGGCTATTTTGGTTTTTAATACGAGTTTTCTGTACTTTATTGTTGTTGGGTAAGATCGAAAGCCGTCCAACCCTTTGTTAAACTCGGTTAGTTCTAACTGGTCAAAAGAAGCGAAAGTGCTTTGTCCGGTTAGTTAGGGATTTTTATTATCAAAGAAATCAATTTTGAAACTATTTTTGGACGCGTTCATAGGGTTAAAGTTAGGTCCCCTTTTTATTATAAATTCCAGATCAAAATACTTTTCAACTTGGTCAAGTACTTTATTTCTTAAAAATAGGTTTATTACTTTAACGCAACGCGCGCCTTTTTATAAGTGACGATAAGAAGGTCTGATTAGAGAGTAAACTCGGTTTTAATTACGCGAAAGCGACAGTTCCTGTTAAATTAGTTCTTTTCTTTAGTAGAAAATATTGCCCTATAGGTAGTTCTATTCCGAAGCATTGCGAATATCATCTGACTATGTGAATTACATTCGACCCTGCTTTTATATCTGAAGTTTATTTCGCTGCACTTTACTTTCTTGCATGCTCAATTCCCTGTTTAATATTGACTTAGCTAAACACTTTACTTTCTTTACATTCTATTTATCGTCACTGACTTATCGCATGATTGGAAAGAGAAAAGTGCATAACACTTTGGGAGAAGTACTTCACCATAAACTTCTCCCTGCTGAATTTTTTTAAATTATCAATTGATATTGCTTTAGAGAGGGATGCGCCATTACCTTTACCTGGCGATATTTCAGATGCAACATTGGTGGGAGAGGCAATAGGACCGTATGTTTCATGGCCGTCAAACCTCATTTTCATAGATGATGAGGTATGTTGAAAACCATTATGAACCTTTGAGTATTCAAATATTTTACGACAATTTAACGTACATTTTTTTTCATTGTAATGTTAGACTCCTACATGATCCAAATCAAAAGATAAAGGGATTATGCAGCAAATCGAGTCAGTTGCATCCAAAAAAGAGGTACATTGATATATATATATATATATATATATATATATATATATATATATATATATATATATATATATATATATATATATATATATATATATATACATAGAAAATTTTAATTCACTATCTTATAGTTCACCTAACTTATATGTATTTGATCTTTAGATTCATGCTAAAGAGATGCAACAAGTCAGTAGGAGTAAGAAGCCTGAAATTGGCAACATGTCCATACAAAAAAAGGATGTTACAAGACCGTGATTAAAAAAAGCCCACTTCTTGGTATAGGTCGTGCCTTCATACATTAATAGGAATATCAGATTTGTCTGACGGAGGTACCCGTAATATACCTATGGAGGAAGATATTTTTGGTTTTTCCTATTATAAAACAATTAGTAAAGAGGATATGGATCAAGTTTTTGGACATTTGAAATTAGGCCTCGGTGTTATCGATACATACATCAGTATACTCCAATCAACTTTATTTAATTAATTGAACAATTTATTTACTCATTTCAATGAATAGTCTTAATGTTAATGATGTTTTTATTTAAGGTTCATCTATGACAACTTGATGCACCTGCATCAATTGGAACAAAGATTATGTTTCTTATCTCCCAACAATATCAACTCACGATTAATCTATCAAAGACCAGATGAAGTCAAAGAGTACTTTTTTCGTGCATTTATGGCCACCAAAAATACATAAAAGTTGTTTTTTACCATTTAATACTGGCAATGGGTTAGATTTTCATTCTAACTTCATCTATTATAATTTTTCGTATTTTGAAGTTGTGTAGAAAGTTTCCATCTAACCTTTGTTAATCTTACATTGGACACTGGTTGTTAGTTGCGATTAATCTTATAAGAGAAACTGTATATTATCTAGATTCGTTATAAGGTGATTGAACAAAATACCCAGATATGAAGAAGATGGTTGATACATAAGTTGGATTGTTCTAAATATTTGTTTGTATATTTATTTATTTATTTATCTATGTGAGATTGTTCTAAATATTTGTTTATATTTTGTTAGAGTTATACAAATTTTTTTATCACAAAGAGATACTCAAGTACTAAAGAGTAAAGTAAACAATATTACATGGATCAGAGTGCAGGTATATTTTTACAATTTTGATTATATTAGTGATGCTGACGAGGACACTACACATGAAAAAAAACCAATATATATATATATATATATATATATATATATATATATATATATATATATATATATATATATATATATATATATATATATATATATATATATATATATATATATATATATATATATATATATATATATATATATATATATATATATATATATATATATATATATATTTGTGTGTGTGTATATTTTCAAGTTGTATCAAATTTATGTATATATAAATTATTGGATTAAAGTTGTATATATAAATATGTAAATTTGGTGCATACTTATTGGATTGAAGCTGCAAATTTATGAAAGTTAGTGCAAATTTGAAAGACAACGCTTATTTTAAGTGATTATTTATAGAGAGCGCTTAAAATATAAGTTGTATATATTAAAAAATTTATGAACATTAGAAAGCGCTTTAAACAAAAAAGCGCTGCCTATAGTGGAAAATAGAAAACACTTTTAAAGAAAGCGTTGTCTAAAGGAGTGCATTAGAAAGCGCTTCTAAAGTAAAAAGCGCTGCTTAGATGAGATTTTAGAGAGCACTTTTAAAGAAAGCACTATCTAAAACAGTAAAAATAAAAAATAAACAAAAATATACATTACACAGCGCTTTTAAAAGCACTATATAAAGTGAAAGCGTTGTCTAAAGAGGTGCTTTAGAAAGCGCTTCTGATGTAAAAAACGCTGCCTATAGGAGTCTTTAGAGAGCATTTATTGAATAAAACGTTGCCTAAAGACTACATTAAGCAGCGCTTTTACATTGACAAAAAGCGTTGTCTTTTCTTACAGGCAGCGCTTTAAAGTGTTGTATATGGCAAAAAAAGAGTTGTTTATTCCCTTATATGGCGTAGTGATACTTCAGGCTTACCTCATCTCTCTCAATGCCCCCTCCAAGCCTTGGAGACTATTGTTATGGATCGGCCAAAGACCCAAATATATGACTAAGGCCCAATTCCTCTCAAGCCCACTTTACTCGACCCGACATATAAAAACAATTCACGTGCTATGAGAAGGTATACAATCTATCATATCCAATTTCACTTTATACTTTTTTTTTTCTTATTTTATAAAATATGTTTTCAAATAAATTTGTTCTTTGAAAATATTTTAAAATTTTGAACTTTTTTTAATTAAATGTTTTTAAAATTGATGTTTTTTTTTTAATTTGAAGTTTGAAATTTTAATTTTAATGTTTAAATTTAATATTGAAAACTTATTTTAGGAAACAATTCTAAAAAGTCTTTTTTTTATAATTTTTTTGATGAATAATGTTTTTTAGGAAATAGGCCTGAGTCTTTTTTTAAGAATTATTTATCATAAAAACAGAAGTAGTACATTGTTTCATATTAATTCTATATACTTTTTACCTAAAAAAAAAATATCTAAATTTATTCATTTTCCATAAATGTGCATAAAAAAATGTCAATGAATTTGACCACATTTGCTGACTCTATTACAAACTCATAGCTTTTTTTTTTCTTTTTCAAATGTGATTGAGTTGAAAACATTCACAAAACTAAGTTATAAAAGTTAGGAAATCAGACAATATTCTTGAGACAAACAATGTCAACATCCATTTGTCACATGTTAATATCACTTCTTCTTTTTGTTTTTCTGCAACACACACTTGCAATTAAACAGGCATGATTTTTCTCAATCTTACATTATTAAATAATCTGATTTTCATGTTTGAGTGTTTAACAGTATGGTCTAATATTCTATAATTCATGTTTTTTTATCACAGTCCTATATTGTATATTTAGGATCACATTCTTTTGGTCCAAATCCTTCATTATTGGATTCTGAGTATGTCACAAACTCTCACTATGACTTACTTGGATCTTTCCTTGGAAGGTATTTAACATCACAACCCTAAAGTTAAGTGAATTAATTGGTGATGTTAATTATGAAATGATGATAGTTAATTTATTTTTTTCATACACAGTACTGAGAAGGCCAAAGAAGCAATATTCTACTCTTACAATAAATATATAAATGGCTTTGCTGCAATACTTGAAGAAGATGAAGCAAAAGAGATTGCAAGTATGTAGTTATGTTAATTCATGGGATTTATCTTCCATATTACAAAATATTGTTTCATTTTTAATTTTCAAATTGATGCTATATATTAATTTTTTTTGGTGAATACAGAACATCCAAATGTTGTATCAATGTTTTTAAATAAAAGATATGAACTACATACCACCCGATCGTGGAATTTCCTTGGGCTAGAGACGGACCGCGGGTCTGCTAACGATTCAGTATGGAAAAAATCATTGGGTGAAGACATCATTATTGGAAATTTGGACACCGGTAATAAAATATGAATTAATCGCATTTGGACACTGATAATAATACAAAATATTTTTATTGATATTGTTACTTATGATAGGTGTTTGGCCGGAATCAAAGAGTTTTAGTGATGAAGGATATGGGCCAATTCCAAAGAAGTGGAAAGGAATTTGTCAAGTTACCAAAGGAAATCCAGATAAATTTTATTGCAACAGGTCTTTTACTCTTAATAACTTCTTGTACTATCATTTTGTTGCATTTCATATAACTTAACTGCTTATACATGATTTGATACATTTGTAGGAAACTCATTGGAGCAAGATATTTTTCTAAAGGCAATCAGGCAAATTCCGGAGAGGCGAATGTAACCTTTAATAGCGCACGTGACACCGTAGGCCATGGAACACATACTTTATCAACTGCTGGAGGTAATTTTGTTGCTGGAGCAAATGTATTTGGCTTTGGAAATGGAACAGCAAGTGGTGGATCACCAAAAGCGCGAGTTGCAGCCTATAAGGTCTGTTGGGATGGATGTTTTGATGCTGATATTTTGGCTGGTTTTGAAGCTGCCATAAGTGATGGTGTTGATGTACTTTCGGTGTCCTTGGGAGGAAATTTTCCACGAGATTATTCGGAAAGTGCTATTTCCATAGGTTCCTTCCATGCAATTGCCAACAACATCGTTGTTGTGGCGTCTGGAGGAAATTCAGGACCTAAAATATCATCTATAGTCAATGTCGAACCATGGACTTTCACAGTTGCTGCTAGCACAATTGATAGAGACTTCACAAGTTATGTTATTCTTGGTAACAAAAAAACATACAAGGTATATATATATTGGGCTATCACATGTTGTGCATTTAATTTCTAATAGCATATGCTTAATCAATTGTTTCCTATGTTTATTGTTAGGGAGCTAGTCTTTCAGAGTTGGACTTACCACCTAACAAATCATATCCATTGATAAGTGCTGTAGATGCCAAACTTGATAATACGCCTCCCGAACTTGCGTAAGAATTCTCTTTTTTCCTTCAAATTAACCTTTTCAAATAATGATATCTTCTAATCTATTTAATTTGTGTAGCTCTATCTGCAAAGAAGGAAGTCTTGATCCACAAAAGGTTAAAGGAAAAATATTGGTATGTCTTCGAGGGGATAGTGCTAGAGTTGACAAGGGCGTGCAAGCTTCTCGTGTAGGTGCTATTGGAATGATATTGGCTAACGACAAGGATTCAGGAAATGGAGTTATAGCAGATCCTCATGTGCTTCCCGCTACAAATGTTGGCTTTGCAGATGGCAGTGCCATTTTTAATTACATCAATCGCACAAAGTAATTGTTTTCATCATGCCGTTTGATATGATTATTCACGCAAATAGAATTTTAAATTTCATACATATATTGTGTAGGTCTCCTGTGGCTTACATTACTAAAGTTAAAACAGAATTGGGCGTAAAGAACACTCCAACTATAGCTTCATTTTCGTCAAGAGGCCCAAATGACCTTGATGGTAAAATCCTTAAGGTATATTAAAACTTGCACGACAACTATCCTTCAATTAACATTTAGATTATCATAAAAGAAACTCTGAATGCAATGTATATTTTTATTTTGTATTTCAGCCTGACATTACTGCACCCGGCGTTAGCATAATTGCAGCGTATACTCTAGCAAACTCTCCATCGGAACAACCATCTGATAAGCGTAGAATTCCTTTTGTTACCATGTCAGGCACTTCAATGTCATGTCCGCATGTTGCTGGACTTGTCGGACTAGTTAAATCTGTTCATCCTGATTGGAGTCCAGCTGCTATCAAGTCAGCAATCATGACCACAGGTAATCAAACTTATATAATTTCCTCGAATTCATTTTCGTATGTTGTTTTATTTATAATATTTACAATTTTTACAGCAACAACAAAAACCAACAATGGAGTGGAAATATTGGATTCATCACTAGAAAAGGCAACTCCTTTTGCATATGGTGCCGGGCACGTTCAACCTAATCTTGCAGTGGATCCTGGACTTGTATATGACCTTAATGTTACTGACTATTTGAACTACTTATGTGGTCAGTCATACACCAGTGACCAACTTAAAGTGTTTTACGGAAAATCTTACACTTGTCCAAAATCTTTCAGTTTAGCAGATTTCAATTATCCATCCATCTCAATTTATGAACTTGACGTTTGGAAATCATTGAATGTTACTCGCACTGTTACCAATGTTGGGCCCCCGAGTGAGTATAGAGTGGAGATCCAGGAACCTCCACAATTTCAAGTCACAGTTCAGCCTGAGATTTTAAGATTTAAAGATAAGGGAGAGAAAAAAGAGTTCAAGGTTACAATCACTATGAAGCCAAATAGTACACATATTACTGATTTTGAATTTGGGAAGTTGATTTGGACCGATGGAAAGCATCGTGTTGGGACTCCTATTTCAATAAAGTACACTGATTTGTGAGGTTTAGGTTCATGTTTCATGCATTTTGCTCGAGTTGTAACTTCCTTTTTTCCCCGCTTTCAATAATACATCAATGTTGTTTTAATGTTATCTGTTATTTGGGACATTCACCTTTGTTTTGTCCACTTTGCATGAAAATAATATATTTCCTTTTTATTTAAAATAAATGGAAAGTTATCAAAATAAATAGTCTTTTTAGTTTTCTTTCTTCTTAGTTTGCACTAGATATTGTTTTTTTATACAAATCTGGTATAATGCATCAATGTTTTGCAATCATATGGGATTTGTCAAACAAGCCTGGAATTAGCATATATGTCATGCAATTAATTCTTTATGTACAAAAGCATCACTGGATTTTTTTTAATGCGCTACACTGGAGTTCAAATAAACAATAACATGTTTATTAATAATGATTACACGCCGGTAATGTACAATCTAGCTGCAAACACAATGTCACGTTTTATTGCATTAGAAGGAATTTCCATTTTTTGTAGAGGGAGGAATTATCCATAATTGCTGTAGAATTTTGAACTCTTGACATGTCTCATCCAACATGACAATGGTCCTTACTATCATGCCTTCAGGAACATCAGTAACCTCACATATGACAGCAAAGGGAGTACCCTGCATTCAAAGTTATGGATTGGTTTACTAGCCATGCCAATAATTAGTGATGAAACTACAGAACTAAAGAATTCATTGCCTTAACTTGTCAAGTTATCATCACCAGAACTTTTTCGATCATCCAAGATGCATGGCCAGATTTACATTCCTGAGATCAACTGGAGTTTGATGCTTCTTTGCCTAGCAGTTACAATTGGTTTTTGAGATATCAAACGCCTCGGAAATGCAGAAGGTAAATACAAATATAAATTGTTCAGAAATACTGGAAATTAGTATATAAATTATTTAGAAAGTACGAAATGTAAAATAAATACGTCGGTAAATAAAAAAAGACATAGTCTACTGCGTATGTCTAATCCTAATCCCCTGGTCCCTACTCTGCCTCATGTAATCTGCTGCACTCGATGCCTCCCTAACCATCCTCTCTACGATGGCCACCGCCTCAGGACCACCCCTCTTAATGATCCTTAAGTCCAAAGCCTCATGTCTAATCAACTGTATCCGCTGACAAATCTGCAAGACATCAGTGGTATGGTCATCTCGGGTCTACTGGTTCTCCAAGATCTCTTAATGAGCTGGCCGAGGTGGACGTCCAAGATCATTTGGTGTCATAATAGGGTGTGACATTGTGTAGAACCATGTCACGTATCCCTCTACACAGTTCCAACTACTGGATGCCCGCATCATCTGACACTCCTCTGGCACCATATGATTCTTCCAATCCTGGAAGATGCCATCGATCACCCGACGGACAATGGTGTCAGGAGAAGCCTGAAACGACAATCTAGGTATGGTCTGCACATAGTCAAATTGTCGGATGCATCCCTCTGTAAGATACGTGACCATAGTGTTGGTCCCACATGCCAGTCACCCTGAATATAATGAGATGGAGTCGAATGGGACAATCTCCCTGTGATCCTCAAACGGCGTCTAGAGGATGTCATCATGAACGGTCCGATCAAGATACACCCAGAACAGTGGCACAACATGATTCCCTATGTGGATAATATACATGGAAGTCCCCAGCATCTCCTCACTATACTGTAGATCAAAATCAAAACCATGAATGCGGTGGAAGTGAGAAATGATTCATCCCTGAAAAATGAATAAGAGATATGTAATAACAAATTATTAATAGAAAATTAAATTTGATAGTTGGAATGCAAGGTACCGTGATCAGTTTGCAAGAGCTTGTCAACTGCCTCGTCCTCCATTTAGAAGCTCCATTCAACTTTTGGTATAGGTGTACCAAACAATCAGCCTTCCAGTTTCACTCCTTAATTGTATCCAAATCCATAAAAAGTGATGGAGATATGCCACATCCACGTGCGTTGCACTTTTGTCCACAAAAATGGACGTGCTAACTAAGAACATGAAGTAACACCGCAAAGCACACTCGCGATGGTATTGAACAAATAACTCATCGCCCTCGCTCTCAGAAGATGTTTTTGCAACCAAGTGCTCTGTATATAGGTCGTCCTGGAATGAGAACTTGGTATGTACCCTGTTGAATAATGAGAGAACAAGAGGAAGGTTGGATTGAATCCGTGTGTTTGAATTACACATCGGAGCCCATTATATATAATAGGAGGCATAAATGCCATAGTAATTACATAATATTCTATAATAATTACATAATATTCTATTTCCTATTTACATGATATCCTAATTACTTACAGAATATTCTATTTACATAATATGGAATATTCCGATACCTAACACTCCCCCTCAAGCTGGAGCATATATATCATATGCACAAAGCTTGTTACAAATATAATTAATTCGAGGACCTCTCAAAGGCTTAGTGAAAACGTTAGCTAACTGATCATTTGAATTGACAAAACTAGTGCTGACATCTCTAGATAAAATCTTCTCTATGATGAAATGACAATCAATCTCAATGTGTTTGGTTCTCTCATGGAACACTGGATTTGATGCAATATGCAGAGCTGCCTGATTGTCACAAATAAGTGTCATTTGTGAAACATTCCTGAATCTCAGGTCGTGAAGCAATTGTTTAAGCCATATAAGCTCACAGGTTGTTGTTTCCATGGCTCGATATTCTGCTTCTGCACTTGACCTTGCCACTACACTTTGTTTCTTACTCTTCCAGGAAATTAAGTTACCACCCAAGAAAACACAAAAATATCCTCCAAAATATCCATAGCATACTTCCTTTGTGCAATCACAATCCCCCGTTTGGATTGGGCAATCTCTATGCCCAAGAAACAACGAAGTCTGCCGAGGTCTTTTGTCTGGAAATGATGACAAAGGTGTTGTTTTACCTGTGTGATTCCATGATGATCATTACCTGTAATGACAATGTCGTCCACATACACAATTAAGTAAATACACCCAACAACTGAGTGACGATAAAACACTGAATGATCAGCTTCACATCGCGTCATACCAAACTCTTGAATAACAGTGCTAAATCTCTCAAACCAAGCCCTAGGAGATTGCTTAAGTCCATACAAAGACTTATGAAGACGACAAACTAGTCCATAAGACTCCCCCTGAGCAACAAACCCAAGAGGTTGCTCCATATAAACTTCCTCACACAAATCACCATGGAGGAATGCGTTCTTGATGTCAAGTTGGTAAAGAGGCCAGTGGCGAATAGCTGCCATAGAGAGAAATAATCGAACCGAGGCCATTTTAGCCACGGGAGAGAAGGTGTCACCATAATCTAGGCCAAACAACTATGTATAACCTTTGGCCACTAAACGTGCCTTGAGACGATCAACTTGTCCATCAGGCCTAACTTTGACTGTGAACACCCACCTGCAACCTACAACAGATTTTCCAAGAGGAAGAGGAACAAGGTCCCACGTGCCACTGTTCTAAAGAGCACACATCTCATCAAGCATAGCTTGTTTCCAGCCATGGTGAGATAAAGCATCACCTACAGTCTTGGGAATAGACACAAAAGACAAAGAGGAAATACAAGCATAATGCAAAGAAGACAAGCGATGATAAGACAAATTAACATAATGAGGAGATGGATTACGAGTGGAACGTATACCTTTGCGAAATGCAATTGGGAGATCAGTCTCAGGGGGCAGGACCGGAGGGGACGAAGGAGTTGGATCCGGAGGGGAGTCTATGGTGATTTCTGCATTAGTTGATGGTAGTGGAGGTGGCCGTGGTCGACACCGATAAACCTGCAAAGGAGCTAATGGGGGTGGATTGGCTGGTAAAGGAGACAGAACTACGTTTGGTGGGGCAGTAGTGGGAGATGAAGAAAACATGGGTGATAGGGACTCAGACCCTGTAGACGTCCCAAAGTAAGGGACTGACTCAAAGAATATGACATCAGCAGAGACGAAATATCGACGAAGAGACGAGGAGTAACACTTATATCCCTTTTGAGATCTTGTATAGCCTAAGAACACACACTTATGAGAACGAGCTGAGAGTTTGTCTAGCACAGGACTAACATTATGGACAAAACATGTAGACCTAAAGACTCTAGGCTGTAATGGGTGAAGAGACTGGTGAGGAAATAGAATAGAGTGAGGGATCTGATTGTTGAGGACAGATAATGGCATCCTATTTATGAGATAACAAGCCGTAAGGACAGCATCACCCCAAAAATGTTGAGAAACATTATTGTGAAGTAAGAGTGTCCTAGTGGTTTCAACTAGGTGTCTATTTTTACGTTCAGCGACTCTGTTTTGTTGTGGTGTGTGAGCACAAGACGTTTGATGAAGCATACCGTTAGTAGCCATGAAAGTTTGAAATTGAGTAGATAAATATTCTCGAGCATTGTCACTGTGCAAAGTATTAATGGATATACCAAACTGATTTTTGATTTCATTATAAAATGTTTGAAAAATAGCAAATAACTCCGATCGATTTTCCATTAAAAATAACCAGGTACATCGAGAATAATCATCAATGAAGGTAACAAAATACTTAGACCCTAAAGTGGAAACAATGCGACTAGGATCCCAAATATTCGAATGAACTAGAGCAAACAGAGACTTAGAACGACGATTGACACGACTCGGAAAAGAACTACGAACATGTTTTCCTAATTGACAAGACTCATAAGATAACGTAGATAACTTGGAAAGGTTGGGCACCAACTTTTGTAACTTTGCAAGACTTGGATGTCCTAACTGAGCATGAACCAGGAGGGGAGAATCCACCACGGAACCAACATGTGTAGATGGTTGAAGAAGATAAAGACCATTAGACTCACATCCGGTGCCAATCATCCGTCTCGAACTCCGGTCCTACAAGAAAAAAGAATCTTTGGTGAATGAGATAGTACAATCAAGAGATCGAGTCAAACGACTTAGAGACAATAAGTTAAACGGAGATCCGGGTACATAAAGAACATTAGTAATGGAGAGCGAGGGAAAAAGGTG